AGGCCCTAGGTAACTTAGCGAGATCCCGACTCAACATAAAAAGAGATTGGCTCAATAGTGGAGTGCCCCTGGTTCAATCCCAGGTACCAAAAAGAATTAAAGGAAAAGAGGCCCTGTTCCCTTTCATTAGCACTTAGACATTCATAGAAGCTTTCTGGGCCAAATTTGGAGTTTTTCAAAATCTCAATTTTATTCCTGATACATTTATTATAATAGAGGGTTCAATGTTGGTGGAACCCTACAGACATGGAAAGGAGTTAACCAGAAGTATCCTTCACTGGTTAATCCCTAAAAGGTTTTCCACACTGAGACTCCTAATGTCATCCTTTCTGTCCCACCATTATTTCATTTTATTTATTTATTTGGTATTGGGGATTGAATCTAAGGGCATTTAACCAATGAACCACATCTACAGCCCCCCCCCCTTTTTTTTAGAGATACACACAAGAGTTCATTTGTCAGAGCTAACAAATAAAGGCCATCTCTCCATAGACGGAAAGGGGCAACACAGGCTTGGGGTTGCAGACTTTTATGGGGGAGGATCAGACATTAAAGCTGGTTGAGTCCTAATGTGGGCAGTTAAGCATCTCTAGCCCTTTTTATTTTTAATTTTGAGAAAGGGTCTCACTAAGTAGTGTAGAACCTTGCTAAATTGCTGAGGCTGGCTTAATACCATCCTCAGCTTCCCAAGCTGCTGGGATTATACCATGTCTGGCTTTTGGCTGGGTGGGGCATAGGAAGATTTGTTTGTTGTTTTGGTGGTGTACTGACTTAAACATGCTAAGTATGGACTTAAACATGCTAAGCATGGATTTAAACATGCTAAGCAAGTACTCAACCCTGAGCCACTCAATCCAGCAATCACTGTTATTACTACATGTGGTTATTGCTCACTTAATTCTTTCCTCATGGTCTTTTTGCTTTGGGTTTAGGAAAATTTGATAGACTCTAGTTTACTGATTATAGGACCTAGTTTTTTTTTTTATCAAGATGGGTATTGGTATACATGGGGAATATCTCAAAGGATTAAGCCAGGCACAGTGGTGTGTATCTATAATCCCAGCAATTCTGGAGCTTGAATTAGGAGGATCACAAGATTGAGGCTGGTCTTGGAAATTTAGGGAGACCCTGCCTCAAAAATTACACCTGTAGGGGCTGGGGATGTGGCTCAACTGGTAGCGTGCTTGCCTGGCATGCATGCGGTCCTGGTTCAATCCTCAGCACCACATACCAAGATGTTGTGTCCACCGAAAACTAAAAAATAAATATTAAAATTCTCTCTCTCTCTTTAAAAAAAAAAAAAAAAAGAAAAGAAAAAAAAAGAAAATAATTCCATTTCAGTGATTAAATAGTTTTTGATTTTTTTTTTTTAAAGATAGAGGGAGAGAGAATTTTTCAATATTTATTTTTTAGTTATTGGCGGACACAACATCTTTGTTTTGTATGTGGTGCTAAGGATTGAACCCGGGCCGCACGCATGCCAGTCGAGAGCGCTACCGCTTGAGCCACATCCCCAGCCCTTGATTTTTTTTTTTTTTAATAACTATTTTTGGTGCTGGAAATCAAACCCAGAGCCTTGAATTTGTAGCATGTCCTCTACAACTGATCTATACCCCAGCCATTAAAACAGAGATCACAGAGACCTGAACAAAAAGGAATAAATTCCCTTTAAGAATGAAGAAAAATTGGGGCTAGGGTTGTGGCTCAGCAAGAGAACGTTGGGCCAGCAGGGCGCTGGGTTCGATCCTCAGCACCACATAAAAATAAATAAAATGAAGACCCCATCTCTAAATAAATATAAAAAGGGCTGGGGATGTGGCTCAATAGTTGAGTGCCCCTGGGTTCAATCCCCGACACCAAAAAAATAAAAAACTTTGTTCCTTTGATTTTTGTAGTAGAGCAGTTTAGAAACCACCATAGTAGGCTGAAGGTATATGTCACTTTCCTAGTCATCATGTTTTTATCAGAGTCCTAGACTCTAATTAGGAAGGGACAGAGAAAAGTCTTAAAAATCAAAGAAAGAGCTAAGCACAGTGGTGTACATGCCTGTAATCCCAG